TCCTCTCTTCACCAACTTCCTTCCTGCTCCAACTGCCAAAGCTCGAGGCTGAGCGCTGACAGCAGAGGAGGACCCCGGCCACAGGCGCCGCTCGGCTGGTGAGTGCGAGGGGAGGGCGGGGGGAGCGGGGCAGCCACAGCGGATCGGGCGCACCCCCCGCCCGCTCCCCGCCGGCGCCGCGCAACTTTGCGCCTTTGTTTGTGGTGGCTGGCGCCGGTGCCCGCTCCTGCCCAGGGCGACGGGCAGAGCCCGGGGAAAGTCAGGCTTTGCGCTGCGATGGGGCGAGGGGCGGCGGAAGGGAAGAGGCCCCGCGGTGGCGGTGCCGTGTATCCCGGCGGGCTGGTGCACGGCGCTCCCCGGGCACTGCGCTACCCTTCTGTCCCCGCACCCCGGGGTGGCGTGGGGAGGCCAGGGCTGGGGGCGCTGCTGAGTCCGGTGCGTTTCTCCCCCATCACGGAAAATTACTTCCTCCCTGCTAAACCCGCTTCCTGGAGATAAGCCCTCGGCCGGGGGTTGGTTTGGAGGAGTGATGGGCAGACGGAGGGGAAGTAAAATGCTGTCCGTCTGACACCCGCTTTTATGCCCCGTGGAGGCAGGGGGGGACCAGGAGGTGCCCACCATCCACCTTGTCACTGCACCCTCCCGCGGCAGGTGCGAGGGCAGCTGCCCATGCACGGCACCGGCAGAGCCCAGCTGCGAGACGCTCGCATTCTCCTCAAGGCATGRTTCCTTCCTTGCCTCCTGCAGCCATCTGTCTCCAGCAGGGATTCCTAATTCTGCCCTTGCCCTCTCCCTGCTGTTTCCTGTGTGCTGCCGGGCCTCAGAAGTGCAGGTGACGCAGGACTGTAGGCTGGGGCTGCAGGAACACAACAAAAATGTGCCAGGGCAAGACACAAATCACACAGAATTCTCCTTGCATAGAGCAATGTAGGGTTAATTTTCTCATTTTAATGAGGTTCTTGGTCTGAGTGGGGGGGGGTCCACATTAGGCCTTGACCTGGGCAGTGGCACAGAACCTCAGGAACCCCTCAGGAACAGCAACATGCTCTCTSTGGGGTAGCAGTGGTGCCTGAGCTCAGGAATGTGTCTCAGCTTGCAGAGGCGACCAGCTCCAAAGCCGGAGCAAGCAGAGGCAGGAGCCGCTGAGATGGAAGCTTTCCTCTTGGTGACCGCCTGCCTTGGAATTTGGCAGGAAGGCAGTGCCAGGTCCATGGCTTGGGGAAAAACGCCAGAACRTAGTCTGATCGGTGCCATCCTGAGACTCCTGTGAGCCAGGGCTTGTTCATTTCAGACAGCCTGGCTGGTCCTGTTCTCTGCAGGATCTTGCTGTTGGCACGGCAGGTTGTCTGTCCACCTTTCTGGGAGGTTTTCAGAATCTAAAAGCATTCCCCCTCAACTGAGCCACCCCCACCGGCTGGCAGGGACAGTCTCTGCGGCATATGTGATGCAAAGGGAAGGTCTGAGGGATGAGGAGCAACCAGCTCACCTGGTCCTGGTGCTGCCTTTTCTCTGCTTGTGGACAGAGACATCTCTTTGCATTTTCTGTGTCTGTCCCTCTGCTGCGATAAACCACAAGATGTGGATGTGGGAGGACGGGGSCAGGCAGGCACCTCTGCTCTGTGCTTGTGTTGGGAGCAGATGTGACCTGGCATTGCAAGAGAGTTGGGACAGTGCTCAGACCTGCAGCTGGAGCCCRAGTGGAAGGCAAGACTTGGCAATGGCTGTCATGGCTCGTCACAGCCTCTTGCTGTGCTGGAGTGGACTGGCACTGAGGGGATCATGAGACTTTCTGAGGCAGCTGTGCTGGGGCCACAGAGTGGTGGGGCATCTGTAATTGTTGCTTTCAAGAGGGAGCTTTTGGTTTCCTTTCTCACGAGGAYGAGCTCAAGGGCCTTTCCTGCGGGCCTTTCCTATGGTATTTGGGTACTGCACACTCCTAGAACTGGGCATGAACTGAGCCAGGGTTACTCAGCTTYTAGGACCTGCTCTTTTTCCTGTTTGTTTGGGTTAAGATTCCCTTTTATTTCCCAGCTGCCCACTCTGCACTAGCTCCTCACCACAAAATTACAAAGTCGTCTTGCAATGTCCGTTTCCCATTAGAATACCTGACTTAATCTTCTTGTTCGTGTGCTGCTCAGTCATTCTCTGTCCCTTGAAACATGCCAATATACTTGATTATATTTCTTCCCTGCACTGGAATTGTTCTGGGAGGTCTGCCTGCTACTTAGTGTTGCCTGATAACCACTTGCTGATTTACCTTGAACAGTTGTTTTTTTCTTTTTTATCTTTCTTTTCTTTTTTTTTTTTTCTTTCTTTCTTTTTTTCTTTCTTTCTTTCTTTCTTTCTTTCTTTTTTTCTTTCTTTCTTTCTTTTTTTCTTTCTTTCTTTTTTTGTCTTTCCTTTCTGTTTTAATGAATGAAAAAGTTATTGCATTAGCTTCCAGTTTAACTTTTGGGAGCAGGGGTAAATATTAAGGCCACAGCTTAAGAGAAAGACAAATGATTTGTTTGGAAAATTGCAAGTAAGYGAGCAAAAGGGGACTTTTTAATAGGGACAGTCGCAAAGAAGCATGAGTGGAAGTGAACGGAATGATCTGTGTAGCTTGGTCAAATCCTATTGCTGCCAAAGTACAAGGAATAGCTCGGCCATTTGTGACAACTACCACTGTTCCAGGGTACTGCTGAGTTTTTCAGCCTTTCTCTGAAGGGTGGAAAGGTGTCTAGGACCACGTGTCTGGCTCCACAAGGCAGGCAGCTGACTGAGGGGGACCTGGCACAGCATTGCTTACCTCTCCTGCCTGTCTCCTGTTCCCCCATCCCATGCTGTGGCTGCCCATTGGTTGCTATTTCCCTGTCCGTGCTCTCATTTGGGATGCCCCCTTTCTGCCGTTCAGCGGTGCGTGTCCCAGCCGTGCTGACTGCGGCTCCAGCTGTCCCGTCTCCATTCCGAGAAGCCCTCCTGGAGCAGCACGGTTCTGCATGGCTGTTCTGTGGTCACCACCACGCTTCCTTCCTCAGTGGGAAGGAGTCCTGATCAGTGCTTTCAGTGAGCTGCTAGTAGGAGCACACGGAATGCCAGCAGATAGGCTATCCTGCTTCCTTGAGAGCTTCAGCTGACTTGCTAATCTAAGGAAGTGGCTGTCAGGTATTCGATCTTTCCATGAAATGTGGCTTTTAACCCATTATGAGAAGGTGAATGAAACATTTTTATTTGTGTATCTGTGCTCCAGTTCGTGGCAGTGGCTCTTTGTTCGAGATAGCTGGTGTGCGCTGAAACCTTGTAAGATGGCTCGTAATTGCAGGGTTGCCAGCCACAATTGTGCTGCAGAGTGGCTGTAAATCACTCTGGTTTCAGCCTCTGCTCCTGCACCTCCTCCCTGCGAGGGAAGAATGGTGTAGGTCTGCGTGTGCGCGTGGTGCCTGCAGGGAGAGAGGAGCGGGGGGTAGAGTGGGATCGTGTTTGAGCCAGAATATCAGCACGGCAGGGTCGGGATTGCAGCTGATCACCGTCGCCATTTGCCTGTAAGAATCCTGCTGCCTTCGRCACTGGGTGGGTGCCTGCCTGTCAGGGGGACTGAGCCACACTGTGTCCCTGGGGACGCCACCCCCACCCAGAGCAACCTCATTGACTGCCCCTCTTCTGTTACCCAGACCAAGTGACCATGACTGAGAAGACCCAAGAACCTCATGTGGAGGAAGATGATGATGAGCTGGATGGGAAACTCAATTACAAACCTCCTCCCCAGAAAACACTGCAAGAGCTGCAAGAGTTGGACAAGGATGATGAAAGCCTCGCTAAATACAAGAAGTCCCTGCTKGGAGATGGACCCGTGGTAGTAGGTAGGCTGGGGCACGCTGATAGGGAGGGACTGGGGAGATTTACTGTGACAGTGTGCTGAGGGGATGAGGCAAGGTTACTTCAAAGAAGAGAGATCTTGTTTGACCAGGGACATGCACTGCTTTTGCTGGAGGACTGGGGATGGGCAGGTGGAGAGATGCATGTAAAAGAAGCACAGAAGATGCTCTGAGTGTTGGGTGTTATGAAGATTACTGGGGAGTGCTGGCAYTGGAAAAGGACTTGTGGTGGGAGATGTGTGGGTCTTGGAGGACTTTTGAGGGGTTACGAAGATGAAGGGACCAGCCTATGCTAAAAGGGGGTCTTGTTGCTCAGAATGATCTTAAGAAGAAAGTTTTCTGTAGTGAAAAGACCTCCTCTAGGTATTGGGGTGGAGGTCAGAGGGAYCCATGGTGAGGGACTGGGCTAGACGTGTGGTCCTGTTGTGCTAAGGAAGCCTGGTGCTACTGGGTKCTTCATGAAATGCAGTTTCTGTGTGGGAAGGCATCCCTGTTTCTTCAGTGTCATTCCCCTCCAATTGCATTTAATTTTGTGAGCTGACCGCCTCCCTCTGACTCTCCTACCTGCAGACCCTACAGCCCCCAATGTGGTGGTCACCCGACTCACTCTGGTGTGTGACTCCGCTCCAGGACCAATCACTATGGACCTTACAGGTAGGCACAGGCTCTGCCCACAAAGGGGAACAAAGGCCCTGGCATGCTCCAAGTTAAAAGAGAGTTTGTCCTTGGGATGCTACAGGGGGTTTTAGAGGAACTCTGAGCATCTTCGCCTTGTTTCTTATTTTAAGGTATACACATGAATAAAAAAGGAGATGTAACATAGGAAAATGTCAAGGGTCTTTTTCTTCATCCAGACTGCTCTAGCAGCTCCTGGGTTTCTCCTGGCRTCTCTGCTTACTTCCTTTCAGTGAGACTTCATGAGCACAAGGGATGTGCATGCATTTGGGTAACAGGCTGTATTGAAACTTCAGAATCACGCAGGACTGCAGTTCCGGGTCCTGGAGACATGGGGAGAGAACCTTATATGGGCTTTTCTGCGGAGAGAGGAAGCTGGGCCTGGAGGCAGAGGAGCTTCCTGTTCGCCCAAAACCACACAGAAGCCTGCAGGGCCAAGGCAGCCTTCCAAGCTGGGCAGGAGCTGTGAAACATGCTCCTCTCACCCAAGCCAGGGCTGGGCATTGATGGAGCATACACGCACTCCTGCATATGCTCAACAACAAGTCTGTGCATAAACATCTTTATATATGTATGCCCAGAGCTGTGTTTGTTTAGGCAGTATCTGCTGTGGGCACAGACACATACAGCCAGGCATTTCTGTGCATTTGGTCGCACAGCGCACTCTTACACAGATCTCTGTGTACTCATTTTACAGGTGCCATCCTTTGAAGGGACACTCTCCTCTGACAGCAGCCCCACCCCCATCTTGCCCCCTGTGCATGGTCTGTTCTTGCTGTGACAGCTCTAGCTGATGGCTTGATCCTCTCCTTGCAGGTGACCTCGAAGCACTCAAGAAAGAGACCTTCGTATTAAAGGAAGGGGTGGAATACAGAGTTAAGATCCACTTCAGAGTGAGTTGTGTTCCTCCCAGTTGCTTCTTATCAGTTGCTGAGGCCAGTCAGTGGCAGTCTATCAGATAACTGGAGCTAGGCAGCATGCCTGCCCAAAAGCTGAGCAGTTGCAAAGTTCCCCTAGCTTCAGGTGTTGTTCTACCCAACAAGGGACTAGGTATTTCTGGGAAATTGCTTCTACTTGCTCCCCCCTTGGAGGAAGTTGATTTCTGTTTGCTCACACTGATAAACAACAAGTGGTTTAAAAGCCAGCTGGGTAGTTTTGGCTGAGTTTGGTTTTTCTTTTTACCACTGGAAAATCTTTACTTCACACTAAGTGGAAATGAGCAGGGAGGAGAAGAGAAGAGAGAATGGCTATTCATGAAGTACCGATTCAATCAGTATTACTGGGCTTCATGTGCTCATAAAAAAGCTGTAATATTGTAGCATTTGGCTGAAGTTAYCTGAATTCTTCCAGGCTGTGATACACCCAAATGGGCTCATTTCTCCCTCACTCCCATTTAGCAGTGTGTCAGCCATTTTTTCTGTTTACAGCTGAAAATGAAACTTGGCCATGCTGCAGTGTGGCATCCAGCACTGAACTGTTCCTCTCTGCAAATGCTTGCTTCAAAGCTGGGCTTGGAAGGGAAGGCAAAAAGGGAAGAAAGATAATTCTCCTGAGACAGGCGAGGGAAGGTGTTAATATTGTGGGTCCTGTAGRTCAGATTTTTCTTTTTCTCTGAGGCTTGCTCCCTAAGAGATTAATATTCCCCAGTGCACTCCCCCAAGACACCTCCAGCTCTCTTTTGTGCTATGAAATATTTCCATCTCTGTCTGAGATGTGTTGACCGGGAATATCTGAAGCCAAATAGGTTGTTTTAACTCCCTCCCTCATGTTCCATGAGGTTGATAAGGGCTCACACTGTGTGAATTCTACCCTGTGATGTAAAAGAATATGTCCATCTTGTTTTCAGATTGAGTTGTGTACACTGCAGGAAGGCCCTGTATGCAGGAGGGGGCATCATTGGATACATCCAAGTTATTAATGGGAGATTTGAGGAGAGGTTATGAAAGCTGTCCCTCTGTCTTTTGAGAAGAAACTTGTCAGCTCCCCATGGAGCTTAGAGGGCAGCTGGAAGTGTTCAGCTAATCTTGCCCACCTGTTTAGGCTGAAGGGATGACTCTAGTTATGCATGTATGGTTTTCAGTATGAAAATTATTAACTGGGAGCTCCCTGCTTCACTTTTCTTTGTCCTCATCAGCATGTTTTGAGAACCTGACTGATGTGCTCCAGTCAGCTTCAAAGTTGGCAAAGGGTGGGGAGGTGCAGGAGATGCACAGAGGATGCTGTAGGTGTCCAGGTACCTGTGGAGAAATTGTTTTAGGGACCTGTATGATGTGCTCTATGCTRAGCCTCTCTGGTGTAGGGGGCTAAGATGGGAAGGGGGAAAATCATCAGATATAGAAACAAAACTCTTCTCTTGACACTTACTTCTGGTTACTTCTTGCAGGTAAACAGGGACATTGTGTCAGGACTGAAATACGTGCAGCACACCTACCGGACAGGGGTGAAGGGTAAGTAAGAGCCCTGCATGCTGTGCACACCGTTGCTCCTACCTGTGTGATCCCTCTTCTCCAAGAAGTGTTCCTGCAGCTCTGGACTCGCACAGAGGCTCCCTTGGGTCTGAGTGCCACCCTGTGCTCGCACCGACAAGGGTGGGATGCATAAGCCTCCACTCTGCCTCACCCAGGACAACTGTTTCTTGTTTTGTGGGAACTCAGTATGAGCCAGCTTTGCTATCTGTGTGCTACACCACTGTCTGCAGCAGCAGAGTCCACAGAGACTCTGCTTGGACATTTCTTGCCACAGATTTCCTCTCCATACGGAACTCTTCTCCTCCCCTCTACCCCCGGTACGCTGGCTCAGCCTGTGTGGAGCTTCCCTCCCTCTGAATGCCCTTCAGAAGCACTTGGTAAAATTTGGACCTGCTCTGTGAAGCTTCCCGTTGTGTGCAGGGCCCTGTGTCTGCCCAGTGCTGCTCTGCCTGGACAAGGCAGAGGAAAGCCCCGTTTTGCACACACATGTCCCACATGCATTTTAATGTGCAGCCACCTCTAAAGCTTCAGCATCCTGTTCAGCCCATGTAACTGGTGTCTGCTCCCCAGGAAAGAGGAGTGGTGGGAAATCGAGGTAGATCTGGAGCCATGCCCTGGGTGTGCTCCTGCCCACCTAGCAGCACATACATATGAGGGTGTACAGACTGAGTTGCCTGTTCACCTGCCCAGCCATCCATATTATCCTTCCAGCTGTCCTTACACTTCACTAACCTACTTTTTCCACTGATTCTGCTCTCCTTTGYTGACATGTACTGTCCCTTTCTCTCCCATCTGCTTTCTGCTCATGGCTGCTTCTCTCCTTTATCATTCCCCATCTGAGAGGYTTATTCCCTGCGGATTGTTTTCTCCTAGTGGACAAAGCCACATTCATGGTTGGCAGCTATGGGCCACGGCCAGAGGAGTACGAGTTCCTGACACCTATTGAAGAGGCTCCTAAGGGTATGCTGGCTCGAGGCACCTATCACAACAAATCCTTCTTCACGGATGATGACAAGCACGACCATCTCACCTGGGAGTGGAACCTGTCCATCAAGAAGGAATGGACAGAATGAGTTCACCCAGTTTGCCTTCCCCCTTCCCATCCCCTTGCCTCCTGCACCAGTCTCCAGGTGGGCCATGCCCACCACGACTCCTTCCTGCCAGCATGGCTGACCAGAGCCCCGGCAGCCCTCCCTGTGGGTGCTGGGGCTCTGTGCCAGCCATGGTTGACGCACAGCCCTGCAGGCGACCTTTGCTGCTTCTTCTGATACTCTGAAAATAACCCAGCCGTTCTCAGCACCACCCCATCATGACACCATAATGGGTTAAATTGGGAAGCATCTCCCTCCCTCTCTCCCAGTACTTCCTGCTGTTGTCCCCACCTCTCCTGTACCAACTCCGGTCCCGGAAGTGCCTTTTCTAGGAAACAAGATCACCTGGCAGGGCGGACTGGTCCCTGGAAAATCCCTGTCTTGAGTTACACTTGCCATGTGCTCTGACTCATTGTAAATGGTTACTTACCTCCCGTGATGGTCTCCTGGTCTGTATCTGGTGCCCTACCCTGTTAAAATCCATCCTTGTGCAGGCAATGCCAGTCAGGGGGAATGCAGCTAGATGCCGTAACAAGAYTTCAGTGTCCAAGAATAAAACCAGTTTCTTTCTTCTTTTCTGCATGAGTGTCACATTATTTTCTARAGCATGTTTTTCAGTGATGTATGTATGAAAAATGCATTATAGGAAGGCTTAAGAGCATATTTCACCAGGGAAATGGCCCTCCTCCTTCAAAACATCAGCCTTACTCCATAAGCAAATTATTTCAGAACTGTTTCCTTCMGGGATTTCATGAATCCTTTGAAGCCTCAAAGTCTGGGCTGTGGTGGGGATAGACTCCAGGGGTAGACAGCCCCCATTTCTCATCCCAGATGGCAACTGAATGAGCCAGGGAGCTGTAACATACCCTTCTCAYGTTTAACACTTACCATAGCAGCTGTTCCCCAGAGCTCTTGCAAGAGCTGTGTCTCCCCGTGGCTGCCTGCTCGCCAAAGACAAGGGAACATCAGCCTCTGGGATCCAGCACCTGCAGAGGGTTGTTCTTAACCCAGCTGGGGCAGCTGGTCACAAAGGCGCAGGGCAGCTGAGATGTCCAGTGCTGCAGGTAAGGACACTCCAACGGCACTGTTGGTACAGCTCTCTGAGCCTGGTTCCTGCTGAGCGGGGAGGGGCTTTCTCCAGCCAGGCAGTTATCTCAGGAGCTGAAGGCTTTGCCCTGGGCCAGCTGCTCGATTCCCACCGCCCTAGGAGAGACTGTAGGTCCCCAYAGCAGCTGACGTGTCCCATGCTGAGCAGAGGACCGGAGCAGGGTGGCATGGCGAGAAGGCAAGCTGGTACCATGGGCACATYCGTTYTCCCATGCCTCYTTGTTATCCTGCTTACCAGATGCTCCCCAGCATGGTGTGCTGGAGGTGGTGACTCTGCATCCCACAGTAAGTGAGCTTTCTTCCTGCCACAGGGAAAGGCTGGGTGTGCTGCAGGGAGTCTTCCTTATCCAAGGTATGCTGCACAAACATKCTGAGCTTGCAGGCAAGGTGTGCAAGTGAGCTTGTAAGGTTGGGATGCTTGTGGGGGTGTGTTGGGGGACCCTATTTGAGCTTCTCTTTGTCTACACTCGGCCCAACCCTGACCTTTGCTCTCCAGGAACAGCCAGCACCGCAGAGAAACCTGTCCTGTTAAACAGCGTCGCAGATGCTGAAGCCTTTGTCAGCGGTGCAGAGGTGGCAGTCATTGGATTCTTCCAGGTGTGTTCACAGCACCTCCCTTCTGCCAGTTGAGCCCCATCCCACCCTGATGAGAGCACAAAGCTGGATGTAGTGTAAACACCTGCCAAAGGCAGCTGTTCCAAAAGGTGCTGGGGCTGTGACAGGCATGTGGAGGGATTAGGTGATGGGTCACAGAGAGAATACAGGGAATTCTGTCTGTGCCTGGAAACTGAGATRGAACAAGGGAGGAAGGTGAGGGAGGCTGTAGGAGCCCTGGAGCAGGAGAAYGGGAAATGCTGCAGGGGAAGCAAAACAGAAATGTGCATGGTAGAGAAACAGTGTTGGTGAGGGTGAGTGGGAACATCAGTTATTCACTGTGGTCAGCAAGGGCCGAGCAAAGCTCTGCCTGTGCTACAGGGATGAGGAAGCCAAGTCTCAGGGAGAAGTGGTAGCGAAAGTGCACTGAAGTCCAAGAGGGTTTGGRCTCAGGCTGCAGCCTTCTTGTAGGGAGGGTGCAGGCATGGTCTCTGTCTCACTGCTTTGTTCCCCAGAGTAGATGTCCTTGAGATCTCTTTTTGTCTAAATTCCATTGAATTCAAAGGTGAGTGACRGGTACATTTCCCTTGCTCCCAAAATGGCATGAATATTTTTCCTYAGAAAATAAAGAGAAAACATTTATCGAATTACAGCACTATAAAACAAAGGCCTCTTTGACAGAATCCTTATTTTTTAAAGTCCCCAAGTTGCATCTTTTTCCWTGTTTTCTTTGAGCTCTGTTCTGCTCTTCTGCCGCCCACACACTGCCTCATGTCACAGAAGGCTCCAGCCTTTCAAAAACAAGTCCTTCTGCAAGTACCTTCCTCCTTCTGCCCTGTGCTGGAGCTGGAGGGCAGTCTAGGCAGGGCATCGTGGTCTTGATATAGGGCAGTGGCATCTCAACCCACCACGGAGGGAGGAGCGATGGTGCTCCCTGTTTCACTGCGGGCAGCAACAAGTCTGTGAGCGCAGGAGGCTTCTGCCCCAGGGGCTTTGTAAGCACTGATCWCAGAGCACCAGCCGCCTGGACTGCGATGCCCGCAGGCAATCGGAGCTCCTTGGGGGTTGCTCTTGCAGCGCTAAAGCTGTGCAAACCCCGCCAGGCAATCTGCGCACGCAGAATGAAGGTACTGAGACGCCTCCTTCCCCGAGGGTAGCTGTCCGGGCTTCTGGCGGGGCTGTACCCAAAGCCTCCTCCTGRGCTACATCAGGGACGTGGCTCCTTTTGTCCTGTGCCACAGTGACCTCCGGCTGCAGGATTTCATTCTCCAGAGCCAGACAGGAGGCTGCTGCCGTGCAGCCCCAGCTGCCAGAAGCACGAGGCTGCAGCCAGCGACATGTCGGGCATTCAGTGCCTGAAGCATGACGGGGCTGCATTTGAACAGTAGATAAAGACGTATGTGTGCCATGAAGGCTTGGCCCTCTGCCTGAAAGTATATTCATCCAAATAAGGTCCATGTTCTCTGTTCACCATGAATTATTTCTCTGCTGCAGCCTTTCWATTCACTGCAGTACGTGGCTCGGCAAGCTCCCGGTATAATGAGCATGGCCTCCGTGACTGGGAACAGCATGTTGTGATGGAAACACAGCACACTGCTCCAGAAACCCYGCGTGTTTCTGTGAGAAAGGGCCACACTTGGCCTGATTAAACCCCAGGTTTCCCAGGAATGCTGCAAAACTCAGTGAGATTATTCTCACCCTAGGCTTAACCACTCAGTTTCACCAGTGCMGTGTTGATGTACTGGCATTTCCAAAACAGGTCATGAGAGATGTTTTTCTTTGGAATGAACAAAGAATTTTGTTTTCCATTCTCTCTGGGCTCACAAACAGTTGAGCTGACAGTTCAAACTAGAAAGAAAAACAAACCGATTACCAAGCAGAGACCATGTCTTAAGAATTTATATCCAGTAAATTGAAGTATCAAAAATGCATCACTGAAAAGTTGGGAATGGGAATAGCAAGGAAGGCTTTAATACAGGCAAAGGCTAGTGGTGGTTAATGTTCTCTCTGCAGGAAAAAAATGAACCTTAAAGTGMTAAGAAATTGCACATTTCTATCCTTTGATATACCTGCATTAGCTAATTTTTGCAGGATACATGTAAGGTATATTTTTTAAAGGAACCAGGACACTTAAAATACAAGYTTTTCAAAACTGTAACCCATTGACTGTAGAATCAAGGTTACTTTAAAAATTGTGTTTATATATTTATTTTATACATACACACTTATATATACATACACATACACACATACATATGTGTACATATATGTTTGAAGGTGCTACACCTATATTCTGGGTTTGTCCCCTCCCTTTCGAATGTCCAAAGGCTCAGCACCATCCTGGGGCGGTCCCCTTGAGCAAGTGGGTAAGCAGGGCAGGGTGCCCATCCATAACTAAACGGCGACTGTGGCTCGGCACCGGAGGGTGGGCTTGCGGCCCGCAGCGGGCGGGTAGGGGCGTCTGGGGCGGGATGTGTGGGGCGGGGGTGTGTGCGGATCCCGGAGCGTCCCGCCTGC